GGCTGCCAATCGGTCGCCATGATCGTTCAGGCGAACGGAAAATGCGGACAGCAGAAGGCTCGATCGCGCGAAAGTCTCGAAGTTCTTGTTTAAAACGGAGGAAAGCGAAACGATGGAACAAAGCAAACGACGTAATGGATCCTTACGTAGTATATACTTACATATACCTACGTAGTCTCTTCACCCGCGTTTCTCTTCCTTTCGCTTTTGTACGAAAGCGGTGACAAGGCCAAGTTTCCGCGCGCTTGTCCAAGTACCCATGCGTTTCGCGCAGAATCAGACGTTCGAAAACGCTCGTTCGCGTAGCGTAATAAACGCGCACCACGTTGACGCCGTTTCCTCGCCGAATCTCGCAAATAACCGCATCTACGGAACTGTAACTTTCAAAAATGTAGTGGTTTCGACGCTCGGGCAACCGATGCGCGATCGTGTGTTGTCATTCTAACTTGTGCTTTTTACGTTGCGACGTACCTCTTGGACGCTCCTCGGCGTATGTCTGCAAGGAGTGTCTTTTAATTTTACTTTGGCCGCAAACCGTACTGTGTAGGACGAGCGAAATTCATAAATTTACTTAAACGTTCGCTGGTGGAAAGCGAAACTTGATTTTATCGCGACAAATTGCCACGGACGCGAGTAGGTTCGACCATATCGAAAGATACGCGCGCCATCCTCCATCCTGTTTTATCTTCTGCACGCGGAGCAGACGCGACGACTGATCGCGATCGGCGAAATTCGAGGAAAGAGGAATTCAGGCGAAGCGCGCAGTCTTCCTTTTCGCGCGAGCACGCGGCGCTTCGAGCGAAAAAAGAAAAAAAAGAAAAAAAGATGTAAGAACGAAACGCGTTGGAGAAGTTACGAGAAAGAATAACAGGACGGAGAAAGAAGCGAGTTCTCTGCTACTCGCGTATATATACGTAATCGCTTATCGCGTACAGTTCTCGTTGTCTCTGTTTGTATATATCGGACAAATCGGTGCTCTATTGTCCTTATTTATTATTTAGCTAAGTCATCGCACTATTTATACAACGTTTAGATTTTAGCGATCTCCCTTGTCTTGTATCTGTATGGAAATCACGAATTACGTAAAACTCGCGTCTACGTTTTCGGGCACACTTTTCTAAGCGGATTTTACGCGCGGTTTTTAGCGAACAAATCTACGCACGATAAGACTAATAATGAACATAGATATTTTATACTGGTTTGTATATATACGTATATATGTAAAAGGAGAAAAAAGATAAGTGCGTGTGTAGGTGCATGCATGCGCGTGCACGGGTATGCGTGTGTACATGTGTATTATATGTGAGATTCTTCTTTTTTTCGCCGTTTTTTCAGAACTATCGTTACGTCGAACGACTATAAGGCACTTAGAAAGATGTATCTGCGAACGTAACGTCAAACGATAATCCTGTAATTCTAATACTAGAGTAACGATTACCTACAACTATACAATATACACACTCTACTATACGATATACATATAGCCTAACCGTTATACCCGCGTAATTGTACTTTAAATGTTACGCACACGCGCAAAACCGCAACGTGAGCTTAATTTTAATATCATAGTAATCTCTTTACTGTCAGTATTACGATACACTAGTGTAGTACTTGTCTCGCGAGAATGTGCCTGAGCGATTGACTCACATCGCGGCCAATTGTTGCGAGCCGAGTATAAGCAGAGTATAGACATTAGGAGGTATACTTGTTTATTTAGCGATATAGAGAACAACAAAACGACGACTATCCTCTAATCGTCTGTCGTCGCGTTTCTTTCTTTTTCATTTTTAGTATATATATACATATATATATATATATACTAAATATATATGTATATATACATGTGTGTGCGTGCGTGTGTGTGTGTGTGTGTGTGTGTCGCATTACGGCGACAAACTCGTGACCGTTCTTACAATTACCTATGAAACAGAACGGCGAAAAATGTGTGTACTGTTGCTTCTCGTCTCCGTTTCATGGCGTATATATCGAATAGAATCGACGATACAAGGCTCTATACGTACCAAATATCAGACGTCCGTTTCTCTTCGTGCTGACGTAATTAAGAAGTAAACGGAAATTGTTGTTCGAAAATTCGATAATAAACAAAGAGTATTTATATTTGCAGAAATCGTGTGTCTCGGATCGTCACTTTTTCTTACTCACATACGAAACATCGTTACGTTTCGCAACCTTGCTGAAACCACTGCCGTCGTTCAGCCGTTAAACAGTAACGACGACGACTTTTTCCTACAGGAAACGCGTTAAGTATTGGAAAATCCTTTAAGGGTAAAACGAAAAAGATAAAGATGTATTATCAAGATAAATGATTCCCTGCATTTATATTTTTCATCTTTAATTAAATTACATAGGCACTTGTACATAAAGTAATTGATTTTACCTAAGAGTACAATATATTTAATTGTACAGCGAATAAAATGATCACGGGGAATATCAAATATGAAACATGAATCTTTTAGAATCTTGTATAGGAAGAACTGCATTCCTGGCACAGTACAAACTGGAAAAGTGTTTATTCGAACTGATAAAAATCCTTCTCTCGTTTGTTTCATCCTATAAATTCGATGTATCATTCGTAATACAAAACGTTAGGATGCAGACGGAGAATGTTAGAAACCCGTAAATATTCTTTCAACGTTTTAATGAAACTGATTTCATATAGCACCCATCGGGCAAAACGTTCTATTTACAAAAAATCGAGCAAACACCTACCCTTTTAACGAATGGTTTTTGTATATATTCTCGTAGCATCAACCAGCGATGGCAAGAGAAGAATCGCAACAGCGAGGTATATATGTATCGTTTATATAAAAATAGCGTCTATCACGTATTTAAATTTAAGTACGTTCGAGTCTCGTCACGGTTATTCAAGGCAATGCTTATCTGAATGAAAGTATGTCAAGATCATTTACAAAAATCTATGTAATAATACTGTATCGATGAACACGAAATCCAGTGAGAGATAACTCGTTCAAATGACGTATGCTTCGATAGAGTTAACCAACCCCACCGATCAATAATCGTATAAAGAGAATATAAACTTATAAAACATAGCCCGTGCAATTTGTAAAATTTAAAAAAGTGGCATTTATTTCCGTGCTTCGTTTATGAATTCGCAAATGCGTTACGAAATTATCAGAGTGTGGTCGACGTACGGTTCTCATAGCTTTGGCGAGCGACTTCCTTTAAAGCTTCTGCCATTGCAGGCCCGGTTTCGTTTATCATACTGTTTAGATATCCTTTCCTTTCGATCAAGACGTACGGAGCATCAAACTCCTACGAGGTTAAACAAGTTTGTTAAATCACTCTTCTTATCTCCGACTTACCTTCTACTAATTGTAATTCGATGCATAATAAGTAACTTACCACGGCTCTACCGGCATCCATCACCAAAATTCGATCACTGTCCATCACGGTATTAAGACGATGCGCGATGGTCAGCACCGTACAAGTGGAGAATTTAGAACGAATCGTTTTTTGAATGAGTTCGTCGGTTCGTAGATCAACGTTCGCTGTAGCCTCATCGAGAACCAGGATCGGATTATTTTTGACGATCGCGCGGGCGAGACAAACCAATTGACGCTGACCGACACTCAGATTGGAACCACCCTCGTTAATATGAGAATCCAGTCCCATTTCCTTTAATTCAACTTCCTCTAACGCTTGCCACAGCACATCGTCGGCGTAGTTGTCGAAAGGATCTAGATTTCTTCTCATCGAACCCGAATACAGGAAAGGTTCTTGAGGAATTATACTGATTTTCGAACGCAAATCATGAAGTCCGATCTCGTTGATCTTCACGCCATCGATCTCGATGACACCATCGAGTTCTGCAAGACGGAATAGCGTCGATATTAAGGATGACTTCCCCGCGCCTGTACGTCCGACAATCCCTATTTTTTCTTGCGGATAAATCACAAAGTTGAGATTTTTCAGCACCGGAGGCTCAGCCGCGTCGTATTTCATATATACATTCTTAAACTCAATTTTACCCTCTTCGGGCCAACTTTCCTTGGGTTTTTTATCCGGCGTGCTTTCGAGCGGTGGTTCGCTTTCCACGTTGCTAAAAATACAATTCGCATAAGTGAGCAATACTCCTTGCTTAAAGATCATGCTAATAATATTCTATCGAGACGCTCACCTGTATTCCACCACACGTTCCACCGAAGTCATTTGATTTTCCAGTTCGGTACTTTGCCGCATACCCCACTGGAACATTCCGGTTAATCCAATACTTTGCGTTATGGCCAAACCAATGTTACCACCCTGCCCCGTTTCATCATCTTGCACCAAAAAGCTCAAGGTGACCAGCATGATGTAGATAACGCAGAAAAAATCCAGCCAGAATCCAAATGCTCTTGAAGAAGAGATGAATATGTACCATGCTGACGAGTGTAAGTCTTGGTGTTGATCAAATTCCTTCGTAAGAATCTCTTGCGCTCCAAAGGCTCGAACAGTTGGCAGCCCTTGCAGAGTTGCACTGAGATGTCCAAACACCGGTGACCGAGCTACCGTTTTTTATTACAAATTATTTAATCATTACAATCATTACAATTAATCCACGAATTCGATAGGTTTCCCTTGTGAATATGAAAAACGATACTTTTCGCTTTTGGAAATAAAATGCAGAGAAAATGTTAGAAACAAATACTTACTAACTCCTTCGAGCCGTTTGACGCTGCGACTAGTTGCCAAATAAAAGACACGAATATAGTAGAAGATGATTCCGATGACCACGGTGGGTATTAACAGCCAGTAGTTGGCTATTGCAACGACAACTATAATACCAAGAAGGGACAGGCCAATTTGTAAAGAATCAATTAGAGCTATTGGTAATACTTCGTCGACGGCTCCCATATCTTTCGAGAATCTATTAAGAATTCGACCCGATGGATTTGTATTAAAGAATCTCATTGTTGCTCGACTTATGCATCGGAACATACGATCGTGTAATCTAGTGGAGGCTCTCATACACGTCGAAAAAAATGTAATCGAACGTAATAGAGTAATTATAATAGTGGAAACGATTAAGCCAGTGTACACGTACATGCAGACATTGCGGCTTATCGGTCCTCTCCAATTGATGTCAATAATGACACCTCCGGTCTCATTCACCTTTAAATGAATATATTTACTCGTGACGATTCATCGAAATTATAAAAGACAAAAAGAAGAAGAAGACACCAATGATAATTACATATTTTTCTTCCATATTGACCCATTGAGAGATAAAGAAATCGCTAGCACTGGCTAACGTCTGCGCGAGCACGCAGAGCATAGCAATCGTAGCTACGATGCACCAATTTCCACCAGCTCTAAAGTACGCTGCATACACTTTACCGGAAACTTTGCCCTTTGTACGCGCTTCAGCTACCTACATATAATTTACAAATCCTTCTAGTTTTCGCTCGGTCTTTATTCACTTTGACATAAACAAAATATTTACTTACCTCGATCGGATCCTCTTTCTCAGTAGCGCTACTCTTTAACGAACTCAAAGATGTACTACTAGCGTTCCGAGAATTAGACCTGCTAGGAGGGACAGAACCTGGTCGTTCTTCTTCAGCAGAATTTTCTAATAATCTTCCAAAGTCCATTCCCATCGCAATAAGCTCATCGTATGAACTGAAACGAGTAAAACTTGACTTAAATAAATTTTAAGAAGAATATTTGAAGAAGAAAAATGTGACAAAACTAGATGCCACGGATCGTACCCGTCAGCCTCGATTTCTCCGTCTTTCAAAACGATTATTCTATCGACATTTCGTAAGAACTGCAACTGATGCGTGACGAGAATTCTAGTCTTTC